CTGCCTCCTTCCAGGCTGTGTGTCAAAGGGACAGTGAGTCTAAGTCTCCTCTCTGTGCCCAGCTTACACAGCAGGCACGCTTACTTATTTTTAGTTTTAAAATGACGTTTATTTCCATGTGTGCACACGTGTATGGAGGTCAAGGGACCACCTTCAGGAGGTGGTTCTCCCCTTCCACCATGTGGGGTTGAGGACTGAACTCAGGCTGTCAGGCTTGGCTGCAAGCCCCTTTACCCCCAGAGCCACCTCGCCAGCTCGAGTCAGCACATTTAAGAAACCAAAATATAGACTGCCCGGCTTAAGAGAAATCCGAGAAAAAGAGAATGAATATTCCACAAAGCAAAAGCTCATGCTGAGCAAGACTGACATACTCGCCACTGGGTGGGATGAAATCATACTATTTACTCTCTGAGTCAAATCGTTTTGCTCTTTTTGACAGGGTTTCATTTAGCCCAGGCTGGCCTGGAACTCACTGAACAGATGAGGCTGACTTGGACCATCCTCCCAATCACTAGGGTGACAGGTATGCACCACCACACTAGGTCTATATGGTGTGGGGGGATGGGACCCAGGGCCTGGTGCATGCTGGGTAAGCACTCTACTCACAATGCCGCAGCCCTTCCCTGAGAAGTCTCAGAGACATATTCATGTTTTGTGCCTCATGGCACTATCTAAATAAAATGACCTGTGAGCCGGCAAGAGGCTCGACGAGTAAAGACGCTTGCCTGATTCGCATGTGAGGAGGGTGGGACTGCTGTGGGCTGCGCACACTCCTCCCACACACAAATAAATATGTGTGATAAAAATGAGCAAAACTAACCGGACAGTGGTGGCACACGTCTTTTATCCCAGCACTCAGCAGGAAGAGGCAGGTGGATCTCTGTGAGTTCAAGGCCAGCCTGGTCTACAGAGTGAGTTCCAGGACAGCCAGGGCTACACAGAGAAACCCTGTCTCAAAAAAACCAAACCAAAACTGTACACAGAGCATTTGACCCAGGGACCCTATGGGTCCTCTCACTGACACCCACCTGAGGGAAATCCTCGCTGTCTGCGACCTGCAGGGTCTGGTTGGCTGTCTCCAGGAGCTCCTCAGAGCTCTCCAGGGCCCGAGTGCAGGCGGCTAGCTGGTTCTGTGGGTAGCAAGCAACGGGGACAGATTCTTCAACCACCACAAACCCACCCAGAGCTCCGCTTCCCGCAGGACCCGCAGCCTAACAGGGCTCCAGGTGGGAAGAGCAGACTGAACTTTTGAGTGCTGGCTGAGCCAGGCGGGCCCAGATTCACACCTGAGTCCCCCAGACCCCTTGGTAATCACAGGTGGGAAGGTGGGATCCTGAGAAGGGAGGATGAAGTTTGGGTACAATGTGAGAGACTCCAGCTTGGAGCTGCAGAGTCCAGGGGAGTCATGGGAGGTGTCTGAGTGGGAGTGTTACCATGGTTCTGGGGGGACCAGTGGAAAGAACTGGGCAATCACAAGGAGGTGTTGGTGCGGAGAAGGGTCAGGAGGGAACCAGAGGCTGTGGAGGGAAGGAGGGTGGGAGGGAAGGAGGGAGGGGGTACATGCTCACACCTGTAGCTCATAAGTGCGGCTGGCCCTGTCCTGCTTGATCTTCATCAGCATGGATTCCTTCAGCTCTTCCAGCACTGATGTGAGGGACTGGAACTCGGCTTCCAAGTCCTCCTGCACTTTGGCTGAGTTTGCCTGCATGGGAAGAGGCCACCATGAGCCGGGTGCAGTGCCACATGCCTTTAATCCCAGTACTCAGAAGGCAGAGGTGGGTGGATCTCAGTGAGTTCAAGGCCAACCTGGTCTACAGAGTGAGTTCCAGAACAGCCTGGGCTACACAGAGAAACCCTGTCTCAAGGGGGAACAAAAAGCAAGGGCCATGCAGATGGGAGACTGAATTGAAACGTGGGAGATACCTCCCAGCCTCTCCCTGCACCCCTCCACCCGAGCCTGCAGAACTGATTTCTCCACTCACCTCTACATTCAGCAGCATCTGCTTCAGGGAGTAGATGAAGGTCTGCGTCTCCTCGTTCTTCATGGCCAGGGTGGTGATGATTTTTCTTAGTGCTTCCTGAGGAACAGAGGAACATGGCAGTGGGCTGACTGAGTGCTGCCCTCCAGGAACGCAGGCCTGGGGTGAGGATGAACCCTTGTTATGTGGTCTGAGCACTGAGCTGATATGAGCTTGGTTTGACGGTGTGTGCACTTGTGTGTGTGCATGCACACGTGTATGGACGCCAAGTATCAATGTGGGTTATCTCCCTCTCTCATTCTCCACTTACTATTTGAGGGACGGTCTCTCACTGAGCCTGGGTTAGGATAGCTGCCATCAAGTCCCCAGGGATCCTCCTGTGTCCCCGTCCCCAGGAATGGGGTTACAGTGTATGCAGCTGCACTAACTTCTTACGTGGACACTGGGGACTTGAACTCAGGTTCGTATGTTTGCTTGCACAGCACTTTACTCACTGATCTACCTCCCCAGGGTCTCACTGTGTAGCCCAGGCTAACCTGGAACTCACATCAACCTCTTGCTGCTGGAATAACCTCCCGAGGCTGGGATAACAGGCGTGCACCACCCACACCCCAGGTCAATATCTGCATCTTGAAAGTTGAAGGTGAGCTGCAGTGAGAGGGTAGCCTGGGCAAGGTAAGGCTAGCCTGGGGTAAAGGACTATATGGAGAAACAAATTTCTTCTGGGTGAGGTGCAATAGGCGTGGGTCAGGATAGCCTGGGAAGTGGATGGAGTTCACCTGGGCAGCCCGAAGGTCTCATTTGTGAAGTGTGGGACTTGGTGAGGGGGATCCCCAGAGCAAGTGGAGGACGAGGGCTCCTGCTCCCGGCTTCCACCCAGGGTCGGGGACTGGGAACTGCGGAGCTGGGGACAGTGACCTGTGGAGTGGGGACCCAGCTAAGCCCAGGCTAGGATGATGAGAAGCTGAGTTGGGGGTGGGGTAGTTGGGGGTTGCATGTTAACCCGAGCCGCTGTGCTGGCGGCCCGTGAGGGGGAGGGGCGCTGCGGCATCACCTGGTCCCCTCCCCGTGCCCGCTCCGCGCATCCCTCCCGGTCCTACCCTCTGGTCCTCCATAGTTGCAGCCCTGGGTCGCCCCGACCCCGCCTTAGGGTCCCCCTCAGCTGGTTCTCCAAACACTCTAGCCTCCGTGGCCGCAGCCGGCAACCAATTAGCCCTCCGCGCCCTCGCCGCCTCCGCCGCCGCGCCCCTGGTCAGCGCTCCATCACTGAATGCATTACGCATGCTCCCGCGACAGGCGCTGCTGGGAAATGTAGTTCGGAGTTGGGAGTTGCTCTCCTCCAGAGCCTGGGTATCAGACCGTGAGATACCAGGAGGGATGAGAGAGAGAGAGCGACCAGGCAGAAGTCAGGTTATCTGGCTTTGACCTCAGGTCCTGTCTTGTGACCTCGGGACCACCCCTTATTCACTCCCACACCGTCCCCATTTGCTACTCAAATTGGCACCCAAACTGCTCTGAGAACTGTCATTGCTTGCTTGTACAACCAACCAGCGTTCAGCATTATGGTGACACAGTGAACAAGCTCCTATACGTTCCACAAAGCCCCAGATTATAACTAACCCCTCCCCGCGAAACCTCTCTACCAGCCCTTGACATCAGACTAGACATATTTATTATGTTCACCTCGCCCCGCTGTCAACCGGGCAGCATTTGGGGCTTTGGACGCCCTAGGGTCTTGCAAGCACAACTTTTCTGCACAGGGCAGTGCTCTCCTTGCGGTTCAGAACAATTCTAGGAAGCACCCAGTGAGAAAGTAGGTCACCTAGTGGCTTGGTCTGAGACTCTGAACTCTACTGCACTGACCACTGACCTCAGAGGGGCCCTGAGTCTGGAGACTGATGGACTCCGGTCCCCAACTTTGCCTAGGCCTTGGAGGGGTACCAGAAACTGTTAGAGACAGAACTGGCCTCAACAGGCTGAGCCAGCTTTGTTTGCCCCATACAGGGGGCCCACGGGGTTAGTTGACATAGATGGGCTTGGGGGCAGCTGCGTATACATAGTCCACCAGGAAGTCACCAATGTCCTGTGGCTTGGCTGAGAACAGGGGTCTGGTTTTTGCTATCAGAGCAGCAGCTCGCTCTCTCTCTCTCTCTCTCTCTCTCTCTCTCTCTCTCTCTCTCTCTCTCTCCCAGATGGGCCTCGAACTCACAGAGATTCCATTCCCCCTGCCTCTGCCTCCTGGGATTAAAGGAGTGTGCCACCACACCTGCCACACAATGCCTGTGATAAACCAAAGTCACTTGTCCAGTGGTGGTGGTGCACACCTTTAATCCCAGCACTTGGGAAGATCTCTGTGAGTTCAAGACCAGCCTGGTCTACAGAGAAAGTTCCAGGGCAGGTCCAAAGCTACAGAGAAACCCTGTCTCAGAAAAAAACAAAACAGAAAACAAAGTCATCACAGAAATCCTCTAACAGGGCCTGTGCCTGAGCCGGTGTGAGGCCTGGGCCTCATGCCCAGCCCTGCAACAGGGAAGGACTTAGGGACCTAGGAACTGAGGCAGAGGGATCTTGCTGTATTAACTGGCTTTTGAGAAGTGTCACGTTGACCAGTCTGGTCTCATGCTCCCTGTGTAGCCAAGGTTGCCCTTGAACTCTTGCTTCTCCTGCCTTCACCTCTCCATCTCTGGTTTGTCCAGGCCTTGCACATGGGCAAGTGCTCGGCTCACTGAGCCAGGGCCCCCTCAGCTAGCCCTTCTTCCTTGCTGTCCCTCTCTGCTGTGCTCTTCCTCCGCCCTCTGTAGTGTCTTCCAGAGAGATCTGCACTCTCATGAACACAGTCTCTACACCCGCAGATGGATGCATATTCCCTTTTTGATGTAGAATGCTTTGCGGGGGGGGGGGGGGAGACTGAGGGACCTCCTTTCCCCTGCAGCCTGAAGCACAGGATGTCTGCCTGACCTCTGTGTTTCCCCACCCCCAATGTCACCGCAGCAGGGGTGGGTGGACTCTGTGACAGGAAGAGTGTGTGTGGGGGCTGGGTGACCCCGGAGCAACAGGGTGAGCCTGGTGCCTGATGGTTCACGGATGGAGTCTCTGGGCTGGGTATTCATCCTGCTGCAGTTCTGGGGTGAGTACTTGGGGGTCCCCACCTGTGCACTCCCTCTTTCTGTCCAGCCCATTTCAGCTGCCTGATCCCCCATCTGAACCACCCTGAACTGGAAGCTTGGACCCTTACAGCATCTTCAGGGGAATCCAAACCATGACCTAATCACCAGCCTGCGAGGACCGGAACCCTGGCCTCTGGCCTCCATACTCTTTTGTTCCTTTGAGACTGGATCTTGTCATGGGGGGGGTCAGGTTCCCACTATGTAGCTCAGGCTGGCCTGGAACTCATAAACCTACCTGCCTATGCCTCTGGAGAGTTGGGATTAAAGGTGTGCATCACCATGTTCCACATGAATTAAAAAAAAAAAAGTATATATCTGGTGTGTGTGTGTGTGTGTGTGTGTGTGTGTGCAGGGGTCCCCAGAGGCCAGAACTGTGGGGTCTCCCTCCAGCACCCTCTCCTTCCCTTTACCATGTGGGCTATGGGGTATGGAACTCTCGTCCTGGGGTTTATCAGCACGTGCCTTTACCTGCTGAGTCAGCATGTCGGCCCCTATGTTGGTTATGTGTGTGTTTTGTGTGTGTTCATGTCTATGTGTATGCATGTCTATGTGTATGTCTGTATGTATACGTGTATATGCATGTCCATGTGTATAAATGTATAAATGTGTGTGAGAGTATATATGTGAATTTGTGAGTGTATGTATCTGTGTGTATGTTTGTGCATGTATGTGTGTATGTGTGTGCACATATGTGAGTGTGCATATGTGTGTATGAGTGACTGTGTGTATGTATCTGAGTATGTATGTGTGTATGTGTGTATACACATCTATGTGTGTACATGTATTTGTATGTATGTGTGTTTCTCTCTGTGTGTGAGTATGTGTGTGCATGTGTGCACAGAGGCCCAGTGTGCTCCCCCTGACTCTTCCTCTGCCCATCTCCACTGATTTTTCTAAAATTTGATCTCTTTTTTTGTTTGTTTTTGTTTTTGTTTTGTTTTGTTTTTCAAGACAGGGTTTCTTTGTAGCTTTAGAGCTTGTCTTGGACTAGCTCTTGTAGACCAGGCTGGCCTTGAACTCACAGAGATCTGCCTGCCTCTGCCTCCTGAGTGCTGGGATTAAAGGCTTGCGCCACCACTGCCCCGCTGAGATTCGGTCTCTTGTGGCTTGCTTGTGGGAGTAGCTGACCGAGAACTCATGGATCCTCCAGGCTCTGCCTCCCCAGTGCAGGGTGACACCACCTTGCTCTGTCTTCTCCAGGGGTTCTAGGATCTTGAACTCGGGCCCTCATGGGCTTTCTAGATTTGGGTCAGACTTGTATCCCTCCCAGGCCTGCAGGAAGCTGTCAGCCTGAGCGTGCAGCAGTGGCCCCGTTCAGTGAGGGTGGCACAAGGTGATGAGATATGGCTGTCCTGTGGCGTGAATCAGAGTCGGGCCTGGGAGAGGCTGCGTGTGGAGTGGATCCGGGACAAGGTTGCCCTCTGTCACCTGCTCATCTCCAATGGCAACCTCAACACTGCGGGCTGTGGGGTTCGGGGACAGCTGTCCTGGCAGTCGCTTACAAACTTTAGCCTGAGACTGGACCACGTGAGCCTCAACGACAGCGGGGACTATGTGTGCCGGGCCACCCTGGAGATCCCCAAGTTGCAAGAGGCCGAGGGCAATGGGACTAAGGTCCTGATAGTGGCAGGTATGAACGGGGATAAAGAGGCATGTGAGTGGGGAAGGCTCTCGAATTCCTGGACTCCTGAATCTTGGGTCCTGTCTGTAAAATTGTTCACAGCACACTTGCGACCCTAGCACATGGAAAAATGAGGCAGGAGAATAACAGAATCAAAGCTAGTTTGGATTCCATAGTGAGCAAAAGAATCAGGTTGTTGAGGCAGGAGGGTCAGGAGTTCAAGGCCAGCCTGGACTACATGAGATCCCGTCTCCAAAAGTTGCGTGAGAGGCTGGGGAGGCAGCTCAGTGGTGAGAGCACCGGCTGCTCTTGCTGAGAATGAGGGTTCTGTTCCCAGTACACACATGGTGGCTCACAACCACTGTGGCTCCAGCTCTAGAGGACCCTACGGCCCTCTTCTGGCCACTGTTGGTACTGCAACACACGTAAAAATAGTCATTTAAAAAAAAGATGGCAGACCTGTTGTCCTGGCACTTGGGAGGCTAGCATGGGCTACAGAGGAGAACTTATCTCAAAATCAACATATAATAGAAGAGCCAGGTGTGATGACACTCTCCTGTCTTCCCAACATTCAGGAGGGTGAGCTTCAGTAGGATGTGGCGGCTTGTCTGTTATCCTCCTGCCTACGGGAAGCTGAGGCAGGAAGACGGCCAAGAGCTCAACACCTGCCTGGCCTTCACTGTCTCCCACAGAACAAGTGTTTAGCTTGGCTGCCACGGCAGGGCCTGGTGGGACCCCAGTAGCCTTGGGCTGGTACCCACTCAGTGGTTCCTGCCAGTCTGTGTTGTGCTAGACCCCGTTTGCCGGGATGGAGTACCTGGTGTGTTTTCCTCAGCTAGCAGGGACATATCGCCATTGCAGGGGCTCATCACCACCAGCCTGAGGAGTAGCCAATTAACACGCTGTGGGGGTGGAGAGCAGCTGCACCCAGCTGGCTTCTCTACCACCAACAGCCCCCCAGGACCCCTGCTCACGTCAGCACGTGCAAGAGGAGAGATGGGGATGATCCACCTTCGCTAAGTCATAAGATCTCCACTTCTGATTGCGGTTCCTAGAGTTGCATAGACCTGGCCTCCAGCACTGTTTGTTCATAGACCGGCTACATGGCTTGGGGTTTGAGCTCCAGCTCCGTCACTGGTCCTGCCATGTACTGTCCTGGGCTCTCCTGTCTGGGCAGGGTGAATTGACAGTGTTGGCTTTCAGCGTGGTTTGTCCTAAGATTTGGGATTTGGATGAGAGGTAGGGTGAGGAGTGGGGACAGAAGTCATTTGGAGGAGGCAGAGTCTCAAGAATAATTCGGAGGGGCCCCTAGTTCTCAGTTACACCCCACGGATAGCCCAAGAACACCATTTTGCTTACGCGCTTATTCTCAGAAGAGGATCCTGAGGTTCTAGGTGGACACCTGCCTAAATGGCAGAACAGAACTGGCAGCTTCAATATCCTGAAGCAGGTGTCTGGGCTCCACAGTGGTCATCCTTCTGAGACAGGAACCTCTTCCTTGCAGGTGACCTCCAGCCGAAGGAGACCTCCAGTTCTTCAGGTGAGCCCATCCCCTTCCCCCACTTGCCCCACCCCACATGCCCCTCCCCCACAGACAGTCCTTTGTCTCCCCACACAGGGCTCCTGTTGGTGCTTCTGGTAGCTGGGGGTGTGGTGGCAGCCTTGGTGGTGCTGGGTGCTGTGTTATGGGGTCTCAGCAGGTGTCGCCGAGAGGACTCAGGTGAGAGCACCTGCCCAGGTGAGTCTCAGGGAGCTGAAGGCACCTCGGTACATGGTGCTACCGCCGCCATGTGGCAGATGTCGGAACTGCAGCACTCTGCCAAGGGGGCTGGGGGTAGGGATAGGGGTGGAGAGGAGGGATGGTCCCTTGCCCGTGCCTAGACTGCTATGGCCACTCTTAATTTACTGTCTCTTTTTTATTTATGTCATTGGCCCCCAGGAAACTCCTTCTACAGCAATGTCCTCTACCGGCCCCGGGAGATTCCACACAGGCCTCAGGTCCGGCCTAAAGAGAAGTACACACACAGTGAACAGAGAGCCCAGGTTATATATTCCACCGCCTTCCCCAAACCTGCTCCACGACAGCAACTTCAGGTTTCCAAACCCAGCCCCAGGCCCAGGCCTGGCTATCCCATCTCAGTCCATTGTGCATCTCCTGCAAGTCGTAGGAAGTAGGGACAGGCCACTTGCTGAGAGGAATCCTTGAAGTCAAAGAGGAATTGGAGACCCTTGAGAACACAAAATGGACCTGGACAAGAGCTATTTGAGGGCGTCACTGTTTTTATAAAGGTGGGGGGAGCGTCCAACAGCTAGAGGCTGAGATCAATGATGTTACCCAGGAGCTGCCAATAAAGGATCCTTTAAGTACTATGCATGGAACCCAGGGCCTCAACCATGCTAGATAAGCGATTTATTCGTGAACCACACCCCCATCCTCACTGGGGGATTCTAGGCAGGTCTCCACCCCTGACCACACCCCCAGTCCCTCACTGGGGGATTCTAGGCAGGTCTCCACCCCTGACCACACCCCCAGTCCCTCACTGGGGGATTCTAGGCGGGGCTCCACCCCTGACCACACCCCCAGTCCCTCACTGAGGGGGGAGTCTAGGCGGGGCTCCACCCTGACCATGCCCCCAGCCCCTCACTAGGGGAGTCTAGGCAGGGCTCTACTGATTCTCACCCCTAGTTCTGATTTTCCTCTTTACTTTGAGATAAATTCCTGTGGGGGTGGGGAGGATCTGGAACTGGCAATCCTCTTGCCTCAACCTCACAAGGGACAAGCCTGCCCCGCCAAGCTCAATTTTAACAAGACTTGTCAAAGATGCAATGCTAAAGCCTGTGACTCTGTTCGTTGGAGTCATTTGTGGGTTCCAGGATCACTGGAGATGACCTGACATCACACCTTGGCCAGGAAGCGTCTACTCCACTTCTGATTTTTCCTTGTTTTCAAGACAGGGTTTCTCTGTGTAACAGCTCAGGCTGTCTGGAACCAGCTCTGTAAACCTGGCTGGTCTCGAACTCTCAGAGATCCACTTGCCTCTGTCTCCCGAGAGAGAGCCTGGTGAACCTGATGGACTGCCTTGTATTTTTATAATGGGGCTAGAGCAACGGCTCACAGGTTAAGAGTACACACTACCCTGCTTGAGAACCGATTCCTAGCAGTCACTTCCGGTGGCTCAAAACTCCAGGCACCTGCACACACGTGCACTTACCCAAACACATTTCTATTATAATTATGTAATTCCCCACCTTCCCTTGCTTTTATGTCCAGTGAGCAGGGAGTACACACTCGGCCCTGAATGGCCCCTTCCTCCTCAATGGGCCACCAGAGAGCTTCTTCTCGATCGAAAAAAGGAAGATTTGAGGGTCAGGGCTACTAACATGTACCCTGCCCAGTTGTCACCTTGAAGTGACCGGGCTGCGGCTGCCTCCCCTCCCCCGCTCCTATGGCTTTCCCAGGGGACAGACGTTTGCTCTGCCTGAGAGGTCAGAGACCCCAGCTGCTGACTGGGATGAGGTGAAGCTGTCCCCATCTCTGGGAACATCTAGCTTCTAAACCCAGCTGGGTTCCTGTGACAAAGGCTTTGCTGTTCACTGCTCAGTACCCACAAGCACCTGTGCTTGCCATGACTTTGGGAACGCTCCAAGGTCTGAGCGGTCGCCTGGCCTCTCTCCGCAGCTCCGAAAGAATAGCAAGGAATGGCAAGGTTTTAAAATTCGTTTTTATTACATTAATTTGTTAATTTATGGTGTGCGCCTTGTGTGTAAATCAGAGGACAACGTGCAGATGTCTGCTCTCTACTGCCACCGTGTGGGCCGTGTGTGTTCCTGGGCCTGAACCTGTCAGGCCTGGCAGCAAGTGCCTCTTTTCTCTCTCTCTCTCTCTCTCTCTTTCTCTCTCTCTCTCTCTCTCTCTCTCTCTCTCTCTCTCTCTCTCTCTCTCTTTCTCTCTCTCTCTTCTGTTTTTTACAGGCAAAGCCCGCTCACAGAGAGGGGGCCCTGAAACCTCCCAGAGGGCAGTAGATTTGGCTTGGAGGGAGTCTGCGTCATCGGTCCCCGGTCCCCTCTCTGGTCGGGCAGCCAGTGTGCAGGGTCCCCTCAGGGGCTCTGGCTGCCGGTGATAGGGTAGAGCAGCGCCAGGTGCTCTGCGCCCTGCACAGGCAGCGGGCGGGCACTGTAATGCAGGACCAGCTCGGGCACGCTGGGGAAGGGCCCGCTGTGCTGGCCCAGCACCACCTGGTTCTCCCGGGTTCGCGCGAACTTCAGGTGCATGGAACCCTGACTGCTCCTGTGGGGCAAGGTAGAGCATCATTTTTCCAGACCCACTCAACTGTCCATCTCTCCACAGCTGCCTTCCACAGGTGCATTACTCTGGGTCTCCAGGGACACCTCTGGCAGCCCCACCCAGTGCCTCTCTATGGAACTGACAGTCACGAGTGATTTCCTGACCTCCATGGCTCCGTAGGGTAACTTACCCTTTGAAGCTCCGTTTTGGACCAATTAGAGGGATCAGAGGGTAAAGATGCTTGCAGCTCACGCTTGATGACTTGAGTTTAGTTCCCCAAGACCCACAAAGTGCAAGGCAAGAGCTGAACCTCAAAAGTTGTCCTCTGACCTCTACACCCACGCATGCACAAAAGTAAAAGAAAAGTTGCAGCACTTGGGAGGCAGAGGCTGGCAGGTCACTACAAATTCAGGACTAGCCTGGTCTACATAGAGAGCGCTGGGCCAGGCAAGACTACATAGTGAGACCTCTTCTCACAATAAATAAATAAGTTAAATAAATTACTTCTTTAATCCCAGTACTTGGGAGGCAGAGGTAGGCAGATCTCTGTGAGTTGTTCCAGGCCAGCCCGGGCTCTGCAGTAAGACCCCCTTCCCACCCTGCTCACCCCGGCCCTGATGGCTCCCAGCTCAGCCTGAGTACCACTTTTATACACGTTTTCCCTCAGCCTCTCATCTTCCACAATTCTATTTTGGAACTTGAGTTCATCCGTGCCCGGGCCCCAACTCATAGTGGCATTTTTTAATGTACACAGTGTTCTGCCTGCACACCAGAAAAGAGCACCAGCTTTCACTATATATGGATGCTGGGAATTGAACTCAGTACCTCTGGAAGAGCAACAAATGCTCTTAACCTCTGAGCCATCTCTCCAGTCCCTGATAGGTATTCTAATAATGTTGAGTCAATGAAGAGACTAACTCTACTCCTATGCACCCTTTTAAAATATTTTTCACATTTATTAATTTATTTATATGTATATTGGGAGAACACATGTGGAGGTCAGAGGATAACCTGTGGAGGTCGGTTCATTATTTCCACCATATAGGTCCTCAGAACTCAAGTTCCTTTTTCTCTTTCTTTCTTCCTTTTCTTCTTTCTTTTTCTTTTTTTCGGTTTTTTTAAAATTTTTATGATTTATTTATCTTTTATTTTATGTGCATTGGTGTGAAAGTGTCATATCCCCTGGGACTGAATTTTTTCAGACAGTTGTGAGCTGCCATGTGAGTGCTGGGAATTGAACCTGGGTCCTCTGGAAGAGCAGTCAGTGCTCTTAACCGCTGAGCCATTTCTCCAGCCCCTCTTTTTTGGTTTTTCAAGACAGGATTTCTCTGTGTAACAGCTCTGGTTGTCCTGGAACTTGCTTTGTAGACCAGACTGACTTCGAACTCATAGAGATCCACCAGCCTCTGCCTCCCAAGTGCTGGGATTAAAGGTGTGTGCCATCACCACCACCACCAGCCAAACTCAAGTTGTTTAGGCTTGGTGGCAAGTACCTTTACCCAACTGAGCCATCTCGTCATCCCAGATATTTATTTATTTTGGGTTTTTGATATGGCTTTCTCTGCGTAACTTTGGAGCCTGTTCTGGAAACTCACTCTGTAGACCATGCTGGTCAGACTCACAGAGATCCGCCTGCCTCTGCCTCCCGAGTGCTGGGATTAGGGGTATGCGTCACCATGATCGGCTATATTTTACTTCTAATGCGCATGCGTGTGCGCACGCGTGTGCGTATGCACCCATAGTGGCCAGAAGACTGCGTCATATTCTCTGGAGCTGGAATTACAGGCAGTTGTGAGCCACCAGATGTAGGGGCTGAACCCAGGTCCTCCCAAAGAGCAGCGAGTGCCCTTAACCACTGAACTACCTCTCCAGTCTCTTCCTTGCTTTTATTAAGACAGTCTCATGTAGCCCAGGAAAACCTCAAATTGGATGAGTAGCCGGGGCTGAACTTGAACTCTTGGTCCCCCTGCCCTCTCCTCCCTACCCTTCCACCCCCTAGTGCTGGTACCACAGGCCATGCTACACTGGACTCACACTTTAGGGATCTTAAGGAACCAGAGTTTCAAACTCAAGTTCTCTCTAGAACATCCTTGAGAATTTGCTTCACACTCAAGGCTGCATTTCAAGTTTTGGACAGGGCCATTCAAACGAACCTTCGAACCTGATTCCAGTTTCAAGCTCGCTCCCAGTGGGACCCATTTAGCCACTGACCCAGGAGCTCCACCCAGTCGCCTGAAAGCCCGCCCTCTTTCCAGAAATCCCCACCCACTGGCCGCCCTGAGGCTGGGTCTCACCTGAGGGACAGGATGCAGTCCTGAGCCCTGGTCTCACTGAGCCGCACTAGGTAGCTGCCTTCCTTGCAGAGGGACAAAAGGTTCTCGGCCTCTGCACGGCTCAGGGGGCCATGAAACCACCTGGGCGTGGGGACAGATATCTCCAGCTGACTTCATATACCTAGGGGCCGAGGGAAGGACCCCAGGGCACAGCCAGGCAATTCCCTTGGACATGGTGAGTGGGGCCAGCCCGGGCTACATAAGACCCTTGCCAAAAAAATGAATGAATGACAGAGTGAATGAAAGAGACCCCAACCGCCTTGTAGTTCCTGGGTCCCTGGGGTCACCCCTCCTTCAGCATTCGCACTCACGGCTGCTTCTCCAGGGCCAGAGCCGCATCCACGCGCTCCGCAGGCTGCGGTCTCCGGCCGTCCTTGGTCGAGCCTGGGGTCCGTTCCCAGTCAGGGCCATCAAATTGTACTGGGAGACGAAGGTGAGAGGTTGTTAAAACCCGCCCACCTAGAGGGCAGGACAGGAGCCAGCCAATGGGATCTCAGTTTGGGGCACACTATCAGAACCTAGGAGCCGGCGGTGGAGTGTAAAGTTAAGACAGGATTGACACAGGAACTGATTGGTTTTTGGAAATAAGGGGGCGTGGCCACCCAGAAATTAGACTCTGTGGAAGGGGCGGGACATTGTCTTGACTGTGTGGTCAGCAGGGATGGGTTGGAAGTTTGTAGTCAGCAGGCAAGAGTGCTTATGGGTAAGCAGGACTACCCACGTGGTGGAAGGCAAGTGCTGCTGCAAGTCGTGGCCACATCCTTCCATTCTTTACGTTGATCCTGTTACTCTTTCACTCTGTTGAGCTAGGACCTGTCTGACTCCAAGTCTACCCCGTGACAGCTCCTAAAAACCTCACGTTATCTTTCACCAGCTCCCACACAACTGAGTGCGACTTCGTATTTCATCTACAACCGTCCTGTTGGGTTGGTCCTACAATGACCACAAATCCAGTGTGATGTCACAGCCACGTCTCTTCCCAAGACTACACAGACTGGGGTGCGGATAAAAAGGCATTTTCTCTGGGGAAAACTGAGGCAGTGGAGGGAGGGAGGAGGCCTTTGAAGAGCCTGAACTTGAACATACCCGCGAAGGCCCTGGAGATATGATCTTTCTTCCACTCCCAAGGCTGGTCGTATTCATCTGCTGGCCTCTCATCCTCCAGGGGCAGCCGACTCTGGCCAGAAGTCGCTCCATCCTCCAGCTCTGCATCTTGCTCCTCATATGGAGTATCGTAAAGCTGGACAGCTCTGCTTGGCCGTTCTGGGGTGGAGGAGACACTGGTCACCCTCCCGTTCCATGCAGAACCATGCACTCGTGCCCAGCCCTGTGCGCCTACCACTCGAGCAGGTCTGGGAATCATAGGGCTCCATGTACCCATCATCCAGAGCTGGCAGCTGAGGCTGGGCATCAAAAGGATCCGCGTACTCAGTGTCTGCTTCGGGCTGTCGGGAGAGGCTCAGGTTAGTTCTGATGGCCTGTTGTGTGACAGTGTGCTGCCTGCCTGCCTGCCCCTGCTGGACCATTTCACATTTCTCAGAGTAGGCTGGTCAGGGAGTCCCCAGGATCCTCCTGTGCCTGGCTCCCCAGTGCACAGGTCACCACATTCAACTCTTGAAGTGGATTCTGGGAATTCAAACCCAGTTCCCAGAACCCTCTGGTACTGTTCTAATACCAGCCCCTAAACCCTTAGTAAAGAGATAAGCCTGTTTTATAGGCAAAGAAGCAACAGCAAAGGTCGGTGACCTGGGGAGGGTCACACAGCTGGGGAGAACAAGGCAGGGTTTAATCCAGTCTGTCCTGTCTCCCTGAGTTCCTTCCTCCTCTCAGGTTCCCCTCTTCCAGAGGCTTTGGGTGCAGGATGGCAAGTTTTAGGCCAGCTTGGGCTGCACAGAAAGAACCTGTCTCAAAACCAAACCAAACTAAACCAATGGAGCAGTGGTTCTCAATGTTCCTGATGTGACCTTGTAACACAGCTCCTCAGGTTGTGGTTACTCCCCCCCCCCCATAGAATTATTTTAATTGCTTCTTCATAACTGTAATTTTGCTACTGTTATGAATCGCGGTAAATATATGCGTTTTCTGATGGTCTAAGGTGACCCTTATGAAAGGGTCATTAAACCCAAAGGGAGTCACCACCAACGGGCTGAGAAACACTGCCACAGAACTAAGCAGGGCTGGAGCTCCATGGGCAGAGAGCTCTTGCCCAGCATGCATCAGATCCAGCTTCCAGTGTGACACACACGCCTGTCACCCTGTGACACACACTTAGGAAGTAGAGGCAGGAGTCTCAGGTATTCAAGATTATCCTCAGCTAAGTAGTGAGTTTGAGGCTAGTCTGAGCTACCTTGCACGGAGCCGCACACAAAACAAAAACTGCTCCCACCCTCGGTCTTTCCGAATGGAGATAGGCTCGAGGGGGACTCTGGCTAACCCAGAAGCTCTTAGACTTCCCGGGGGCGGGGGAGCATGAGGTTGGGACTCTGGGATGATGGGGACAGAGCACCAGTGTCCGTCCGCCACGCACCTCCTCCCCAGGGTTGCCCAGGAGGGCCTTGGCTCTGGCCGTGTCTGCAGCCTCCACTTTGATCAGCCGGTGCCTGGGAGAGTCGTACTTGGAGTCCACCGGCCCTGCGGGCTCTGACTCGGGGCGGCCATCGGCGTCCTCGTAGGGATCCTCGAAGTCCAGGTCCTTCTGCTCCCGGTAAGCGCGAAGGATGTCGCTCTCTGTGTAGTCGGGGGTGGGCGGCTGCGGCGGAGGCTTCCGGCCGCCAAAGCTCAGATAGTCCCGGAGCCACTTGGCCATCGATGTCCCCGGAATTGACTGGTGTCAGACAGGGGCTTCCATGCGAGCTTCTCAGCTCGTCCTGGGGAGCGGGGGGGGGGGGGGGGGGGAGGAGACAAAAGGGGCAGGAAGAAGGGAGAGGAGAGAGAAGGGGAAAGAGAAGGTGGTCAGGAGTCCTAGGCTGGGCTCAGAGCGGAGGGGGCAGCAGGTGGTGATCCCAGCGTTGCGGGAGTCGTGCACTTCGGGTTACTGGCAACACAGTATGGTGTCAGCGCGGTTGTCCCCCAGAGCTCCACGCACAAAGTTGCCAGAGGCTGGACCACCCAGAGGGTCGTACTCCCTGTGGACTGTTGTCCGATTCCAAGGGTTCAGTCGGTCTGATTCCTTAAATCCACATCCATTCCCTTAATCCCCTTATACCTTACCCACCCCCATCCCTTACCCTTTATTCCTTAACCCCCGACTCTTAACCTCCCCCCATATCCCTTACTCCCCCATCTCTTAACCTCCCGATCCCTTAAAAACCACTTCCGTACCCCTTAACCTCCGGATCCCTTATTCCTCCCCCCCGCATCTCATACCCTCCCTTTTCCTTACCCCTCGGATCCCTTACCCCCTCCCCCCGTACATCTTAACTCCCGGATCCCACACCCCTACATCTCTTACCCTCCAGATCCCTTACCGCCTCCTTCTCTTAACCTCCCCAATCCCTTTACTCCTGGGTCCTCCCCCAGACCCCCTGCAACCTTTTAACCTCTCAATTCCTTAACCGCCTACGGCCGCAGCCACCGCACAAAGGGACATAAACCCCTGGGTCCCGGCCCGGGCTCTCGGGGCCGAGGGAGGGGCGAGGACACCCGAGTCCCACCGGGTCCCGCCCCCGCTCCGCGACAGACCTACAGACCTCAGACCTTCAGCCGCTCCGGGGCGGGGACGGACCCGGAGGACGAGGACACCGGCGCGGGGACCGAGTCGCCCTTGAGACCGGGGCCGGGAGGGTATTGGACGAGAGACCTGAGCATCGCGCAGGGTCGCGGCTGGCTGTGGCGCGGGGCGGGAGGCGCCGTCAGTCACCGCCGCGTCCGTCGCTTTGTGGCGGGCGAGGGGGAGGGGCAGGAGGCGGCCGCAGCTGCGGGTCCGCGAGGGGAGGGACGGGAGCGGGTTTGGACCCCAAGGGTTGGAGAGGGGGCTGGGAAGTGAGCCCCTAAGGAGGGGAATTGCAGGGCAGGAGTCAGCCAGAGTCAGCCATAGCCACTGGTTAGTGTTCCTTAGACTCCCCAAATGGTAAACGGTGCAGAAAGCATTGACAGAAGAGTTACTGCTTGGGCTCATGTTGCCCAAGCTGTCCTCCAACTCATTTGCAACAAAGGATGACCAGGTCCTAGTGCCTCAGCCTCCCAAGTGCCAGGGATGACACTTGGGGCTTAGTGTGTGCTAGGCAAGCGCCCTACCCACTGAGATGTTCAGGTTGGAGAAAGAGAAGCTATGGGCGTGGGGTGTTACTCAGGCCACCCAGCCGTCAGTTTGTGTTTGGACTTCTCGAGGGTGGCACTGGTCCCTCACAGGATGTGCGTTCATCCTCTCATCCGATGTGAGCTCTGCTTTCCATTGGGGAAACTGAGTCTTACAGCGGGTACAGCATCCGGAGTCCTCAATGTCTCCTGACCACCGGCAGCTCCTATCTCAGTCTCAGAGTCCCCAGAGCGCGGGCAATCGTCCCGTTGGCGCAGGCGGCTGCAGCCGAGCGCATCACACATGAGCTTCGTCCGCCGCACGGAGGGCAGATAACTGCACCGTGACAGGAATGGCAATCAGGAGCCCCGAGGCAGAACCAAACGGCGCTTGACTTCCTCCTCGCCTCGGAGCCTCCGGAGGGGAGCGGGCGGGGTGTGTGTGGTGGTGGTGGGTAAACAGAGAAAAGAGCCGGGACTTGACTTTCTGATGAGGGATGGGGGTCATGGCAGCCATCCTGATACATCATGTTGGATGACTTGGAAAATGGGCATGGACAGTACCCGAGTATGTCCCATTGGTCTGACTGTAACACACATGCCCTACCGCTGCCCGTTTTAGAAGTACAACCCAAGGGTTGGGGGGTGGCGGCTAAAAGGGGAGCGCTGGCCTAACACTGGGCAGGGGAGGCTTGTCCTACATCAAGCACCTTAAACTCAAAAACAGAAATGAAAATAAGACGCATGAGTGGGTTGAACAGTGTATCAGAAAAGCCATAGAGCCTGCTGCACTCTAGTTCTAGAACATTCCACCCCCATGTCCCTGCCAGTTTCCATGAATCCATCCTGTCTCTGCACCAGCTTGTTCTGAATATTCCCTGTCAAGGAGTCTCACAGTGGTTTGGTCCTCTCACTATTTCCACATGCTGGTAGTAGGTGACATGTGTGACTGCCCATCACTGGCAGGCACACAACAGTGCTTGAAGTGGGGCCTCCCCGACTGTACCTCAAATCTGGGAAGAAGCGTGCCAAGGCACGGGGACAGGAGGGGAGGTACACTGGTCCACGGTGAGTCTGGTGGCCAATGCCTTTAGTCTACAGAGACCCAAGGAGCCATGAATGTGTTTGTAGGGGACCCTGTGGAGGCATGTCTTGCCTGGTACAGTCTGATGGCAGATGCAGAACTTGCCCAGTAGCTTCCCATTTGGAGGTGCTGTCTACTGTGAGGCATGCACACAGCCTGAGGCAGGAGGTGAAGTAGAGTGCTTCAATGGGCCGTAGCCTGAGGAAGACGCAAGTCACCGAGTTTCAAGATTCCCAGTCTGGGGGGGGCCATCCAGCTGCTCCCCAGTGCTTTAGTCTGCTGTAGGAACAATGGTGTCTGGGGCAAAAAGGCCTCACATCAACCCCCTAGCAAGCAGCTCACGTGTCCCAGCACAGGGGCCACGTTTGAGACCAGCAGGCTGGCAGGGGGCCACGAGTGGGCTGGTCCAGCTAGTTTCTAAGCTGAAAGGACAGGTGGTGGGGTCAGTGCTAGCCTTGTGACTCCTGTTGCCAGGGACCCCCCAGGGAGCTGATGGAGGAGATGGCACTTGAGGACATGATGACAGCTGTAGAGCTGGGGAAGCCAGGGTGGGAGTGGCGTAGGGAGGGTTCCAACCAGACTCCAGGGTGCCACTGATGTGTCTCTGTTCTTGTGGGGGCGGGGCATGAGGACACAGGTGTGAGAAGGAAGAACTTCAGGCTCCAAGGAAAGCAGACTCCAACACAAACATTTCAGGCTTAAGATCAACTTGGTTCACATCTCTCATCCCAGCCTGGTGAGGTGAAGACAAGCCTGGGCTACACATGCCTGTCTCTCCACTGTCACCCCACCCAGGCTCACTGTGTTCTAAATGACAGACTCAGGCTCAGCAGTTTTCCTACAGAACCAAAACACAGACTCATGTATTGCCAAATTCTGAATGACGGACACAGGCTGTGGTCCAGGCCCAGACTGGCTGTGGCTGAAATCTCAGGTGAGTGTTAGCTCTGGTTGGACAGTCGGGCAGGGTCTCTCGCTGGTCCACATGGCTGTCAATTGATTTCCTTCTTTATCACACAGTATTATTGTGTTGCAGGTAGAGTCCCAGGCCTTGTTGGGAGGCAGTCCTCAGGGACTCTGCCACCTGTCCCCTGTCAGATAGTGTTCAGATCTGTGGCAGGGAGGGATGGGGCAAACAGGTTCCCTATAACTCAAGGATTGACAGAGTGGACCAGGTTGTCTGTCCTGGGACACCTGGTACTAAGGGACATTGCCTCTCCACACCCTGCTGGGATCCACCGCAGACACAGTCACAAGGAACTTGCTGAGGGTGCCTTCCTTGATCCCATCTCCTCTGGTTTCTTGGGTCTGTGATGTCACTGTAGGGGCTCAGCTGTCACTGTCCTCGCTGTCCCCATATGCACCCAGCTGGCTCAGGGAGGAGGCCCCAGGTGTCTGGGGTGCAAGGCTGGCTGTCTTCCTGCTCTCGGGGGCACCTGTGAGGAGGACAGATCAGTCCAGGGATGCAGGGCAGGGGAGTATGCCCAGGTTAGAGGACCCATGACAAGGTCACCCCAATCCTACACTGGGCCAGGGAGACCCTGCCCAGGCAGCTGAGTGTCCAGTGGCCTCCAACATCTGACCTGCTATGTGGCTTCAGGCAGTGGGTGACCCTCTCTGAGCTTTAGGATCTGGCAGTGACAACTGTGTCAAAGATGTGCCAACCCCAAGCAGGGTGCTCTCTATATATGGTGAAATTATCCAAACCACAGAAAGGACACTGAAGCTGCAGGTTACATGGACAGCACCCCATCAGCAGCTACCTGGTGTCCCTTGACACTAACCAGCCATATGGTGAATTTAGCTATCATGTGACTTCGATTCCAGGCCTTTGCTCCTTTTATCTTTTTTGTTTGAGACAGGGTTTCTCTGTGTTGCCCTGGCTATCCTGGAACTCGCTCTGTAGCGAGGCTGGCCTCAAACTCAGAGCTCTGCCTGCCGCTGCTTCCTGAGTATTAGGTTTAAATGTGCGGCCAGCACTGCCTTACTCCTTCTTTTTGGAGACGGAGTCTCATGTAGCCCAGACTGGCCTTAAATTTGCTATGTAGTTGAGGCTGACCCCAAACCCCTGATCCTCTGCCCATTGAGCCCTAGTCCTCAGGTCGCTGGCCTCACCTCACCCACCCTATGAAGCTTCTAGACAGTGCCAGGCACACTGCTGCCACCCAGGGCTGCTGATGGAGACTTACCCACGGCAGACATCTGGACCTGCTCTGAGCCCCCATTGGCTTCCACTTTCACCTTCTTTGGCACCACTAATCCGGCAAGTTGTGCCCTGCTGCCCACTGACTCTGCCTTCCTCTTGGCCTTTGGTACCTGTGGGGACCGTGCACATCTGTCGCCCCTGACCTCCCTGGCCTCCCCAACCTGGCTCTCTGGAGCCAGTGTGCACATGCTGCAGTTCCAAATTCCTCTCTGGCTCCCAAGGTCTAGGGAGACATCAGAGGACTTCTCACCTGCTACCTACCCCTACCCACAGTTCACAATCAGTACCACCAATAGCTAGTGGCACATAGTAGGTGCTCAACCTGCAGTCCAAGCTGGTCTTGGTCTCCCCATGTGCTGACACGACAGGGCTCTGGGGGTGTGAGGACGTGAGGGACCACGTGCAGGCAGGCCTGTCACCCTAGCCCATGGTGGCTGAAGCAGGACTGTGGATTTGAGGTCAGGATGGGCTGTGGAGTGTGACCCTGCTTCAAAGAAAAACAAAACAGAACCAGAGCGAGTCTGGGTTCCACATGGGAAGAGGGCCCAGTTAGCATGCTTGCTGGAAGAATGAGGACCTGAGTTCAAGTCTCCAGGACCACCAAGAGCTAGGCAGAGCAGCACATGACTGTAACTGAGACGAGAGAATCCCGGGCCAGTACACACAGCTGTCTAACATGGTGGGAGGGAGGCTATCTGCGGATCTAAAAGCTGAGTATGTGCACTGGCACTCATATCTGCATGCAGCTGGAAGAGGCTAGAAGGCCCTAGAACCTTCAACAGCTGGGGCCACAGCTGTTTCAAAGTTCAGAATGTGCCCAGGACCTTGATGGGAAGTAGGGACACACCTTCTTCCTTCAGTGGGCCAGATCTTGGTTCTGTGGGCTTTTGTGTTGTTCACTGTGCACCCATGCATGGAAGCCAGAGGCCGACACCTGTCTTCATCAGTTGATCCCCATCACGGTTTCTGAGGCAGGGTCTTTCAGTGATTTGGCAGATCCCACTTGGTATAACCCAGGACTTCCTGCCTCTGCCTCCTGGTGCCAGATCCCAGGCCTGAAGGCCTATATCTGGCTTTATTTATTTATTTATTATATACAACATTCTGCCTCCACGTATGCCCACATGCCAGAAGAGGGCGCCAGATCTCATTACAGATGGTTGTGAGCCACCATGTGGTTGCTGGGAATTGAACACATGACCTCTGAAAGAGAAGCCAGTGGGGCTGGAGAGACGGCTCAGTGGTTAAGAACATTGCCTGCTCTTCCAAAGGTTCTGAGTTCAATTCCCAGCAACCACATGGTGGCTTACAACCATCTGTAACGAGGTCTGGTGTCCTCTTCTGGCCTTCAGGCATACACACAGACAGAACATTGTATACATTATAAATAAATAAATATTAAAAAAAAAAGAGCAGCCAGTGCTCTTAACCACGAAGCCATCTCTCCAGTCCCAGTCTGGCTTTATATTTTGAAACAGGCTGACCTCAAACATGAGAGAGCCACCTACCCCTGCTCCAAGTGCTGGGATTAAAAGTGTGTGTCACCACGACCAGAGCACCTGGCTTTCATCATGGCACTGGGATAAACCCCGGTCCTGTGCTTGTGGGGCAGGCACTCGACTGGCTCTCTGCTGTTGGCGGACTGTTTCCTCAGGCTCAGCAGTAGGAAACAGGGCACTGGAACCACGTTGTGGGCTGTCTGCCCTGTTAGGAACAGCCCTGCTGCCCATGGAACATGCCCCCCCCCCCAACATGACCTCTGGAAGAGAAGCCTGGTCCTGCTTACCTCATCCAGGATGGCTGTGGGATTAGGTTTTGCTGCTGAGCGTGGTCGGGAAGGCGGAGCTTCATCTTCTGAGTCAGAATCCTCCAGAAGCCTGCGGTGGCGAGCCTCCTCCAGCAAGGCCCTATAGGATGAACACAGTGAGAACCTGCTGCAGGGACGGCCCCTAATGGGAGCAGGGGGTGATGCTAACAATTTTGAGGACAGTGGCCCAGGCGCTGAGGGCTTGACTAGCACATGGGAGGCTCGAGGTCCATACCCAGCACTACAAAAATAAGTAAGAATATACAAGCCGGTCGAAGAGGCACATGCCTATCACCCCAGCTCTGGGGAGGTGGATGATGGAGGATCAGGAGCTCAAGGCCATCTTTGGCTACTTAGTGATTTTGAGGCCAGCCTGGACTACATAAGACCCTGTCTCAAACAACAAACCCACAGCCATGGGACCGACATGAAAAGCCAGTGATGGTCATTCAACACTGGATCCTGAGGGTCTGAGGGGACAGGGCAGGAGGGGACTCTGAGCTGAGGGGGGGAGAGGCAGCCATGGAAGGATCCAGAAGGGCCCTGGCCGCTCACGCAGTCTCACGCTCATCTTCCTCCTCCTGCTGCTGTCGCCACTGTTCCTGCGACAGGCGGTGCTGCAGCAGCATGGCCTCAAAGTCCACGTGTGCCTGCCGCTGGTTCAGGTCCTTCAGCTCCTGCAGGTTTTCCAGCACCTCCATCTCCAGCTTCGAGTCTTTCGTGCGGTTCTCTAGGACCTTCATGGGGTTGTTCAGTTCCTCATCCTCGCGCTCCTTCTGCACACGCTTTTCCTCCTCCTCCAGGAGCTTCTCGGCCTGGAAGTTGCGTGTGGCTCCATGCTCCATGGTGTAGTCCGTGTTCTCGGGGTCTGTCTGTAAGGTGAGGGGAGGGGACAAAACCGCCAATGGCTGCAGGTGGTGACCATAACACAGACCACCTGACTGCAGGGGTGAGCTTCTATCCCCTCAGGCCCCAGTTACTTTGGCCCCCACCCCCCACCCCGTGTGTGTTCTCTGCACCTTCAGGCCTCCTGGCTGTGCATGCATCACATCTTCATAAGTTCTTGCTTATGAACTACACAGACAAGCTAATGTGGTATGCACCCGTCTGGCGGGTGGATGCAGGGAGCTACGATGTGAGTGAGGTTAGCCTGGGCAACTGAGGACTTCGCTTAAAAAACAAGGGTATGAGGGGATGGCTCAAGGGTTAGAGCACTGGCTGCTCCTGCAGAGGACCCGGGTTCAGTTCACAGCACCCACATGGTGGCCCATGATTACCTGTAACCCTATTCCCAGGGGACCCGACGCCCCTTCTGGCCTTAAGGGCACCAGGAACATTATCACATTCCAGAGATAAACAAATGTGAGATAAAAATGTAACTTATTCACGCTTGTTCACTTAGTCACGTTCACTTTGACTAAATTTCTTTTTTTGAACTCACAAGACAAAACTAACCAAACTCATGGCCTCTAATGGTGTAGACCAGAGAAGGGAATTATCCTTCTTCTGTCTTTGCCTGAATTCCCGGGTTTTTGACGAGTGCCTGTGAAGCCCTGACTTCCATCCCAAAAAACAAAGGAAAGTCATGATTTTTAGACAGCTGTGGCAGCACATGCCTGTCATCCTGGCACCAGAGGTGGAGGTAGGAGGATCACGGTCACTCTGACTGTGCAGGAGTTTGAGGCCAGTCCCTATTACAGGAGACTAAACAAACGAAGCCCAGCACAGTGTGACTCCACAGTCATCACCTGTGCACCCGACCCCACGTCCCGCACACACGCAGGCGGGCAGGCTTGTCTGTGTGTGGTCCTGCTGCAAGCACCTTCCATCTGCACCTATGTGTGGTGTCCTCAGAGAGAAAGGTGCACGAGTGAAGGGAGCCCCTACCTTGAAGGTGATCTCGGCCAAGCAGCGCGTGCACTTGATATAGAAGCGGAAGATAGGCAGGCCCAGGTAGGCCTCATTCTGGACTGTTTCCTTGCGTGCATTGAACTTCTTCCCCTTGTAGATGTATTCTCCACATGTCTTACACCTGCAGCCAGAGCAGGTGTGTGAGTGTCTTTGCACTCTGCTCCAGCACCTGACCACAGCATACACACCTCCATGGGCAGGGAGGACTACACTGTCTGGGTGTGTGGGGCTTCTGAGACTCTGAACAAACAGGGAACAACAGGATCCTGTATCCTGACCTTCTCTCCTTCCTGCCGTGCTGACAAACACCTCTGGCTTAGTCCTACCTCAGGGTCTTTGGTCTGCAGATCCCATGGCCTGAGATTCTAACAATCCCTGACTGTACAGCAGGTAGGTCACCTGCCCTGCCTCATGTGTCCTTGTGTGGCTACCAGAGGATGGGCATCATTCCCACTCACCACCAGACTGTGAGCAACAGTAGGTGTCTGTGGGAGGGATTTGGTGGTTTGAATGTCTACTACAGGGTCATACATTGGAAGGCTTAGTCACCAGGGAGTGGCATTACTTGGAAGGATTGAAGGATCAAAAGGATTAGGAGGTGTGGCCTTGTTGGAGGAAGTATGTCACTGGGGTTGGGATGTGAGGTTTCAAAAGTCCATGGCAGGCCCAGTGTTTCTCTCTGCCTGTGGATTAGGATGTAGCTTCCAACCACTTCTCCAGCACCATCCTGCCATGCCTGTCATGCCTGCTGCCAAGCTCCCCATGATGATGGACTAAGCCTCTGAAACTGTAAGTGAGTGCCAACTAAACGCTTTCTCTTCTAAGAGTTCATGTGTTTGCTGGGTGGTGCTGGTGGTGGCGCAAGCCTTTAATTCCACCAATTGGGAGGCAGAGGCAGGAGGATGTCTGTGAGTTCGAGGCCAGCCTGGTCTACAGAGCAAGTTCCAAGACAGGTTCCAAAGCTACACAGAGAAACCCTGTCTCCAAAAATGAAACAAAACAAAAAACCAAAAACCAGAACCAAAACCACACAAACGAGTCCCCACGTTCAAGGTAACTAGGATAGGCGCAGATGAAGGAATGAGGGTGATATACAGTCAGCCAGCTAACATGGGCAGCCACTCTGTCCTCTGTAGTAGGGTGTGACTACCGGGGAGTATGATTCTCACACAAAGTCAAGTTTGAAGGTTGTTTGATTCCGAGCTGGAAGAACCAGGAAAGTAGGGGAAGGGTGGCATGAATGTTTGGGGGAGGCTGTCCCAGGCAGCCTGTCTGGGATGAGGTGGGAAGCAGGCTCTATGAGGAGGGCAGGAGCCACTGACATGAGAACTGTAGAGGCCATGGCTACTGCAAAGACCCTGGGGCAGGAAGAGGGCTGCCACTGGAGGGACCAAGTGTCACTCTGACTGTCCAGTGAGGCCTTCTGATGGGGGGCTGGGGACCCCATGAGAATGTTTGCTGTTTCTTCACAGACTCCAGCCCTGGCCTCACACCCTCAGGGATTCACCTCATGTTGAAGGGGGCCATCAGTCGAACCACATACTGCCGGTCCTTGGGTAGCTTGAGTTTCGGGATCTTTGACGGGTCGAAGTCAGGTGGGTAGTATTTCTGCAGGGGAAGAAAGTGCTGCTGTTTTCCAGTATTCAGGGCCCACGTGGGCGGAAAGGGGGTCTGGGAGCCATGTCAGGGGACCCACCATATCCCAGTTTTAGGGATCTGTCTAGGATTCATTCTTCTCGTGCCTTCCCAGACATGGGCCATTTGAAGAGCAGCCATGAGGAGAGAGGAGCGTACAAGCTTCCAGAACCTTCTCTCAGACAAATCACAGGGTGTGTGCATGTTGCTCCCCCCAGAGCTGTGACATGCCTTCAAGGGAAGGTTCTAGAGGCCCATGATTTGCAGTGGGGGTGGACCCCTCCTGCCCAGTACATGGGACTCTAGATGCTCATGAGATAATGGGGCCCAATATAAATCAGGCATTGTCGATGATGGTCTAGCTTGGACTAGGGAATCACATAGGCTCTTGGACACCATCTCAGGGTAAAACCTGGACAGTGAATTCTTCTCTGTGTACTTGGGAGGCTGGGGTGACACACACACAGGCACAGCCACTCTGGGTTATCAAGAGCATGCTAGGGGCTGGAGAGATGGCTCAGAGGTTAAGAGCACTGACTGCTCTTCTGGAGGTCGTGAGTTCAATTCCCAGCAACCACAAGGTGGCTCACAGCCATCTGTAATGAGATCTGGTGCCCTCTTCTGGCCTGCAGGCAGATACACAGACAGAATATTGTATACATAATAAATAAATAAATATTAAAAAAAAAGAGCATGCTAACGCCCACAACTGCCATCCCAGCACCTGGCAGTATAAGATGGGGATGGTGGGGATGGAGAATGACAAACTCCCCTGTATAAAAAAGTCAAAAGGAGGCCGGGAGGTGGTGGTGGCACACGCCTTTAATCCCAGCACTCGGGAGGCAGAGGCAGGTGGATCTCTGTGGGTTTGAGGCCAGTCTGCTCTACACAGCGACTTCCAGGACAGCTAAGGCTGTTGCACAGAGAAACTCTGTCTCAAAAAAACCAAAAGTCCAAAGCTGTGTGAACCACCAGCAAGGAGGCACTCTGCTTTGGACACCAGACCTGCTGGCAGCCAGGCCCATGGGGGAGGGAGTTGTCTCCCTTGCTTGAAGGGAACTTTGCCAAGAGTTCAGGAGGACACCGGCCTGGTGGTATGTTTGCCAGTCATTCCAGCAGTCAGGCTAGGCGCTGCACGCACGCACGTGGTGCACAGACAGACATGTAGGCAAAAGATAAAAATAAAAATACATCTTTTAAAAATGAATATAGCCCAGTGTAGGGGTACACGCCTCTAACCCCAGCAACTGGGAGGCTCAGGCAGGTGGGTCTGAACCTGAGGCCACTCTGGGCTACATAGTGAGGCCCTGACTCGAACACAAAATTCCAGGAAATGGAAAGTCAAGTTTTTGAAGAGAGGAAACTTGAGTCCTTGTGTCCCAGCCACTGAAACTAGTGTAGAAAATGCGGCCAAGAGCTATCTGATATTCGCTTAACAGAAACTGGGACGAACTGAGGCCACCAGCACCACCACCCCCAACGGTCCGGAAAAAGCGACTGGATAGTTTCCTTTAGAAAACCCGTCGGATGAAGTGACACAGGCGCCACTCGCCTGGGGATGATTGACGTCTTCTAAACCGGAAGAGAAACATAAACTAACACCGCCCCTGGGAAATGTGATTGGCAAGAGCTTGGGAGGCTCCGCCCCACTGAAGGCCGTTGGGGGGGAATTCCTAAAGGAACTAGCCGGAAGGAAGTGAGCCTCTCCCGCAGTCCTTGGACGTCCCACTCGCGGCAGAGACATCTAGCCTCCGAGCACTTACGTTTAGAACTTTTCGTTCCGACATATTCGCTTCCTGTTCGTCGAGCAAGCGAAGGAGCAGTGTTCTTCGTTCCCCTCGGAGTTTATTCGGCCAGGCGCCGCCTGTCTCTTGACGTCACTTCCTCGGCTGGCTTACTGACGAAGTTCATACGCTTTAGCGTTCTCATTGGCTGTGATATCTGTCGATCAAGGTCCCGTGTGCGCTTTTGTTCCTTTCCTGAGTGCGGGCAGGTGAGGCAGTAAATAAAAGTTCCGGGAGTATGTGGTTCACTTGTGTGCCTATGCACCACGCTAGAAAGAGTCAATAAGGTTTTGCTCCTGATCTCTGCTCTATTGATGTTGTTTGTATTTGATTCTGTGTCTCACTGTGTAGCCCTGGCTGTCCTGGAACTCACCATGTAGCCCAGGCTGGTCAGGAACTCACAGATCCGACTGCTTCTGCCTCCCGAGTGCCGAGATTAAAGGCTGTGCTACCTCCCCACTCTGTTGTTTATTTCTTCTTTCCTTCCTCCTTCCCTCCTTCCTTCCTTCCTTGCCTTCCTCTTTGCACAAGCCAGGCAGTCACTCTACCACTGAGTCACTACCCAGCCTCTTCCTAAAATGTCCAGAGGGCCTTAAATTTGCAAGTCTTCCTGCAAGTCTCTTGAGTAGCTGGAAATCAGTGACCTGCTTGATTTTTATTGTTTTGCTGTTGTTGGTTTGTGTTTTTTTCTTTTTTTTCTCTTTTGTGAGACAGAAACTCACCAGGCTGACCTTGAAATCTCAGTAATCCAGCTGCCTCTGCCTCCCGAGTGCTAGGGTTAAAGGCGTGGCAGAACACGCAAGCTTAGACTGGCTTTTACGTTTGCTTAGTTATTATTTGTGCACACAAATGATGGCAAGCCCCCGCCATTGGGCCCCGCCCCCAGCCCCTCACTGGGGATCCTAGGCAGGGGCAGCACCCCTGAAACACGACCCTAGCCCTACTCCTTTTTCTTCTTCTTAATCTTGGACAGAGTCTCCAGGCTGACCTTTAGCTCCCCACCATTCTTTCCCTCTGTCCTCATTTCGACAAGGCCGGACTGCATCCTGTTTGACTCTCAGATGGGAAAACAAGTGCTATGGTGTGTTTGTCCTTTTTCAGTGTCGATGATGGGAACCCGGACCTTACACCTTGCTTTATCCGCTCCCTTTCTCTCACCCGCGTGCTCCCCGACCCTTACACCTTTAGACATTGTACCACGTGCTGTGTCCTCCAAAGCTCCTGAACCTTGAGCCACATCAGCTTCTTTTCGTCATGAAACCCTTGTTTGGGGGGTTGTAGGCACTCGAACACAGACAACCCATCACACTGCTCACTCAGCGGACAAGATGGACAAGCGGCTGGAGAGGAGGCTCAGTGCTTCAGGTCTCTGGCGCCCTCTTCTGACTGCCGTGGGCACTGCCGTACTCCCCACAAGCACATATTTGGAAATTAAATACTTAAATTTTAAAAATGGACAGTTTTAATAATTCTTGCCAGGCAGTGGTGACGTATGTCTTTAATCTCAGCCCTCGGGAGGCAGAGACAGGAAGATGTCTGTGAGTTCGAGGCCAGCCTGGTCTAGGACAGCCAGGCCTACGCAAAGAAGTCCTGTCTCGAACTCCCCCATTACTACTACTACTACTAATTTTGTTTTGGGGTTTTTCGAGATAAGGTTTCTCTGTGTAGCCCTGGCTGTCCGGAACTCGCTCTATAGACCAGATTGGCCTCGAACTCATATAGATCCACCTGCCTCTGCTCTCCAAATATTTGGATTAAAGGCGTGCGCCACCATTGCCAGGCTAATAATTCTTATTTAATAAAAATTTCTAATCAAGTCACATTTACAGTTTACAAAGCCCGGAAGTGATGGAAGGAGAAATACTATCTCCACAGATTTGGAAATTGATGTCCGGGGAGGTCAAGTCAACGCGCCGAGAGGATCTCAGCACTTGCAAAGTCAGGACTTGAATCCAGGCCAGGTCACCCAGACACTTTGAAGTAGACGACATCAGGGTCGGCTATCAAAGACCTAGTCCCTCTTCAGGGATTTCTGGGGTGTCCCCTCTGCTTGCCCAGGAAGGCTCCAGTCACTTGGTTTCCCATAGTCCGTGAGATCCTGGGCTGAAACCTGGACACAGTACTTGGCATAGGACTTCGCGGCCCTGAAGGTGAAGGTCGTGGCTTCAATGGGTCCCACCTGCGGGGAGAGAGGACGAGGCGGTGGGTAGGACCACGCTGTACCGGGAGCTGGGGTAAACCTGGGTAAAGCCCTGGCTGTAGTTCGAAACCCCAGAACTCATGTAAACCAGCTGCAGAGTCACGTGATCTCAGCGCGCCTACAGGGAGGCGGGAGGTGGAGACCAGAGGATGTCCAGGGAAACCCTGTCTCACCCTCTCCCAAATCCCCTCTCACCTGGCGGAAGTGAGAGGTACCGTGGCGCCGGTAGCGGACGCGGTACTTGAGAGAGAAGATGTCCGGGAAGGGCCAGGAGACAGGGGGATGCCAGAGCACCTGCAGCAGTTGTCCCGCTGCGCGCAGGCGCACGCCTTCCGGGGGGTCGGGCTTGACTGCGGGGAGAAGCGGGGAGGGTTTAGAAGCGGCTCCACTGGTTCATCTGTCAAGCACTGATTTCCTCCATTCATTCATACGCTGGCTCTCGCCTTTAGAGTCCATTCATCCCATTAGTTCGTTTCTTCACTTGTTCATTGAGACTTCACTAATTTCTTAGCTTGCTTAGTCACCTGCTCACTCACACTTACTTATTGCTTGCTTCACGTGCAGATGTATTCATTGATTCATTAACTTGTCCGCTGTCATTCATTCATTGAATCCATTAGTTTCTTCACTTATCCATTTGTACATTCATTCGTGCTTTGATTAGACCATTAGGTCATTCAGGTATTCATTTCCTCACTCATTAAGTCCTTCCCTCATTCACTGTATCATTCACGTGTTCATTCATTCTCTCATTCATTAAGTCCTTATGTGTTCATTATGCAGTCATGTCAGTCATGCATTCATTCACCCATCTTCGCAAGGAGCAAGCGTTTGTTGAATCACCATTGCCGCTGCTGACAGAAGTCATGACAGACAAAGAGAAAGTTTCAGAGAGCAAGTCCCAAGTGGGCTGAAGGGCTTTCCCGAGACACCATTCTCACAAGACTGAGCTGGAGGACACTGGACAGTGTTACCATTTCTCTGCCTGCCTCCAGAACGCTGCTTCATGCCAACACAAGCTCTACACCCATAAGCCATCTCCCTTCAGCACCCACAGATCTGTCTCTGGATCCCCCTGTTCCGGAGCCCACGCTGTGTGGTTTGTGTCTGGGTTGCTCACTGAGAACTGTAGTTGGCGCCAGAGCCTCATTCTCCAGGGCTGAGTGGTGTTCCCCGGTGTAGATGGATATTGTGTGTCTGTCCATCCATCCATCTATCCATCATCCATCCATCCACAGGAGGACACGTCGCATGGGCCGCCCCCTTCTGGATGCCGTGCATAAGGTTGCCAAGGATTTGTAGGGATGAACATTTTTATTTTTCTTGAGCAGCTATCTGGGAGTGGAGACTCCATATTTAATCCTTTGAGGGCGGAGTAGCCTTTCACTGACCTTCACTGAAACAGACAGGGTTTCTCAGTAGCTATGGAGCCAGTCCTGGAACTCATAGAGATCCGCCTGCCTCTGCCTCTTGAGTGCTGGGATTTAAGGCATGCACCACAACTGCCTGGCCACAACTGCCTGGCCTGCCTGCCTGCCTTCCTTCCTTTCTTCCTTCCTTTCCTTGTTAGTTACAGGGTCTTGGGTTCTTGACTCCAATTTACCCTATACTCTCAGAGATCGACCTACCTCTGGGATTAAAGGAGGCTTTCGTCCTCCCTTAACTGCAATTGTCACTTATGTTTAGTAATATACTTTTGGGGAGCCTCACCGAGGAGCTGACGCCCAAGCAGTGGCCTAAGAAGACGAAGCTATGCAAACGCCCCGGGTGGGATGGAGTTTGGGGTGTTGGGGAGGCAACAGAAAGTCAGTGAGGCTGGAGTAGAGAAGGCTGCGGGTACCTGGCAGGACGTGGGGGGCGGCGCATGGTGGAGGGCGGGGACTGAGGAGGCGGGAAAGACAGACACTCACTGATCCGCTCAGCCACAAAGGCCAGAAGGCTGCTGCTGGCACCGCTGGGATGAAGCGCAGTGACATTTAACACGTAGGGCACCGTGGAGAACAGGTGCACGTGGGGGATGGTGCACCACGTAGCCTCGGGGGTCGACTGTAGGCAGGGCTGGCTCTGCTGCAGGGTGGCCACACCGAGCCTGCGTGGGAAGCACCGTGGGGAGTCGCAAAGGGCATCTAGGTGTCCGCGGGTTCCCAGCCCACCCACAGCCGACCGTGGGACCCGGACACGGTCAGGGGGATACCGAGTTCTGAAGAACTCCCTAGATTACCCACATCCCACACTTGTTCTGTTGTTTTGGAGGCAGGTTCCCGTGGGTCCCAGGCTGCCTCCGACCCCGAGTGGAGTGGACTATTGGAATCTGTTCCCCTTCGTCGTCCTGGCCCCTTTCCATTCTCTGACCTGTAAGTGGCGATGAAGGACGTGGGTCTGGTGGAGTTGGGAGCCCGCAACGGCGTCCAGGAGCAGTCCACGGCCACAGGGTACCGAGAAGCGTGGCATTGCACCCTGGGCTGGCTCAGAGCGGCTAGGGCGGGAGAGACTGGAACGTGAGCTTCCAGGAGCCTCGTAGTTCTCTGTCATGTGTAGAAGCATGAGCTCCTACGTTTACTACAAACCCCCAGGGCCTCAACAGAGTCCATTTTCCAGATGAGAAAACTGAGTTTCCTCCTTCCTCTCTCTCTCTCTCTCTCTCTCTCTCTCTCTCTCTCTCTCTCTCGCTTTCTTTTGTTCTTCCTTCCTTCCTTTCCTCCTTCCTTCTTTCCTTCTTCCTTCTTTTTTTTTTTTTTAAAAGGCGGGTCTCCTGCAGCTTTAGGCTGGCAAATGACCTTGAACTCCAACCGCAACCTGCCTCAGCCTCGTGAGTGCCCTGCGCCAGGTGTGTACTATCGCGCCCAGCATCTCTGAGAGTTTGAGACCCACACTTGAGTCACAAAGGTGAAACTTGAGGGTTGCTGAGAGTTAACTGTTGATCTCCCCAAACCTCTAAGCCCAAGGGTACCTCTGCCTGGATAAACAAGGCTTTGCCTCTCTGTGCCTCAGTTTCCCATTTCTATAGCGGAATGGGAACAGGTCCCACAGGTATAGGTAGGTGTGAGTTCCTACCCGATTCCAGATATAACCGAAGACTGAAAACGAAGGGCTGGCCCCCTTGGCCCAGGCCCCCTAGTCCCCAGTGTGACCACCTACCTGTCCCTGCATGGCCAGGGGAGCAGCTAGCCCAGAGGGCAAGTGACAGGAGGAGCCGCCGGGACATGCCTGTGTGGCTCTATTCTGCAGACTCTCCGGAGAAGGGACAAAGGACCGTTCCTGTTCTGGAAGCCTGGTCCTGGTGAGGAACTGCCCTGGTGCAGCTCAGTCGCCCAGTGTGTGGAGCAGTCCAGAGTCTGTCACCAGCTGCCCCGTGTGTGAGTGTGAAAGGCCTTGAGGTGGGGGCAGGGAGAGGGCCCCAAAAGGGAGAAGTCACTGGGTGGCCTTACTTCCTGCTAATGGGGAAGCCCCAGGAAGGTGGGTGAGGCCAAGGGCAGAAGCGTAGATGTGCCGGTAGCGGAGGGGAGCGGGAGAGACAGAGAGAAACAGAGACTAAGAGACGAGGAGAGAGACAGAGAAAGAGGGACCGAAAGAGACAGGGGACACTGGCCCAGAGACTGGTCCCAATGCAGGGTGGTGGCCCTCTTACCACCCACATCTTCCCAAAACTGTGTCAGGACCCATACAACAGGGAGCAGCTGCTACCCCCAGGTAGTCCCTAGCACCGGGAACATTCTGAAGTGTTCAGGACACCCAAGGGAACCCCCAGGACAGGCTGGAGTCCCCGGGAATTCCAGACCACACCCCTATCTTCAGCACCAAGAGAACTCAGAGTCTCTGGGGGATTCAGGGGATTTGCCCAGAAATGGGGAGAGACAGGAGCAGGGGCCTTGCTGGAAAGTGATGAAGAAAAATGGAAATTAAGGCATGACTATTGTCACCCATCATCCCAACTCGTGGGGAGCTGAGACAGGGGATATCTAAGACTTTAACTCCAGCCTGAGGTACACACCTTAAAATGAAAAAAGATTAGGGAATAGGGTCCTGAGTTCAATTCACACAGACACAGATACACACAGCAAAACAAAACGAAACAAAATAAAATTGAACAAAGTATTGAAAAGATGGAGAACAAGAGAATCCAGTCTGGGCCTTTTTATTCACTATTTATTTATTTATTTATTTTTGAGACAGAGTTTCTCTGTAGCTTTGGAGCCTGGCTTTTTTTTTTAACTCTCTCTCTCTCTTCTATCTATCTATCTATCTATCTATCTATCTATCTATCTATCTATCCTATCTATTCATTTATTTTGAGACAGGGTTTCTCTGTAGCTTTGGAACCTGTCCTGGCACTCATTCTGTAGACCAGGCTGGCCTTGAACTCACAGAGATCTGCCTGCCTCCGCTTCCTGAGTGCTGGGATTAAAGGTATGCACCACCACCGCCTGGGTTTTATTCTTTTTTTTTTTAAAGATTTTTATTTATTATGTATACAGTGTTCTGTCTGCATATATGCCTACTCGCCAGAAGAGGGCACCGAATCTCATTACAGATGGTTGTGAGCCATCATGTAGTTGCTGGGAATTGAACTCAGGACCTCAGGAAGAGCGGTCAGTGCTCTTAACCTCTGAGCCATCTCTCCAGCCCTTTATTCACTTTTTTTTTGGTGTTTTGGAGAGAAACCCTTTTCTCTGTAGCTTTGGAGCCTGTCCTGGAACTAGCTCTTGTAGACCAGGCTGGCCTCGAACTCACAGAGATCCGTCTGCCTCTACCTCCTGAATGCTGGGATTAAAGGCGTGTGCCACCACTGCCCGGCTCCTTTATTCACCTTTTAGAAACACTGGTAGGAACAGAGCCCAGGGCCTCAAACACACCATGTCAGCTCCCAGCACCTAGCTGGGTTTTCTAGGCAGGAACTTTACCCCTGAGTCACAACTCAAGTTCTTGGTGCCTTTAACTATTGCATTGCATTCATGTTTGCTGCCATAACTGTGTTTTGGGTTGAGAAGCTCAAACTGTCTTCTGAGACCCCTGCCCTCACCAGTGTCCCTCACTGGTCGTGTCTCCCTCTCATAGGGAGCTTATGCACCTGGGTGGACAGTGTGATGTAGAAGTTGGAACATCTCAGGTGTTACAGAGAGATGGAATTCAGAGGCTCAGAGTGTAAGGAGCAATGGTGTGATGGGGTCAACTGGACACCACTGGCGAGTGGACTGGCTGGCTCTATGTCAACTTGACACAGCTAGAGTCATCAGAGAGGAAGGAGCCTCAGTTGAGGAAATACCTCCATGAAATCCAGCTTAAAGCTATTTTCTCACTTAGTGATCACTGGGGGAGGGCCCAGTACACTGGTGGTCCTGGGTTCTATAAGAAAGCAGGCTGAGGGGCTGGAGAGATGGCTCACTGGTTAAGAGCACTGACTGTTCTTCCAGAGGTTCTGAGTTCAATTCCCAGCAACCACATGGTGGCTCACAGTCATCTATAATGAGATCTGGTGCCCTCTCCTGGCATGCAAGCATCCATGGAAGGAATGTGGTATACATAATAAACAAATAAAAAAAAAAAAGAAAGCAGGCTGAGCAAGCCATGAGGAGCACCCTCCATGGCCTCCGTATCAGTTCCTGTCTCCAGGATTCTGCCCTGCTTGAGATTCTGTCCTGACTTCCTCCAATGGTGGATGAAGATCTGAAAGTGTAAATAAAATAAACGCTTTTCTCCCCAGATTGCTTTTTGGTAATGGTGTTTTGTTGCAGCAATAGAAACCTTAACTAAGACAAGTAAGTACCGAGACCGTGGAAGACCTTTGGACCTCAGAGCTCTGTGGGAGCTTGGGAGATAAGAACAATGAGAGTAGGGCAGAAGATGGAGGCCTGGCTTGTGGTGTTTCAGAGGGAAGTTTAAAGACTCTATTGGGGCCACTTGTTATTTTGAATTAAGAGTCTGTGGTTCTGGTTAGCTGGGGCTGAAGAATCACCTATGGTTAACAAGACACCAGAACGACTAACGTGAAACTCTGCTTTGCTGGGACACTTGGCGCTGGCCAGCTGGAGCTGAGAAATTCGACGTGATTGAGAAGAGACCAGCATCACTGAGGTGAGATCTTCTCGGGAAAGTTTCCTGAGGGCACAGAGGAAGTGTTCCAGAGGTGGCCATGGTCGTACCCTGTGCAGGCAGTGTGACTTGGTAATGTGTAAGAGTCACCCAGGTGGTGCTTGTTTTGAAGCCATGAAGGGGTCCATGGAGAGCAGCTGAGGCCCCAACATTTTGGAGATGCCAGTACAATGGGATGACCACCACCACCAGTAGCACAGTGGAGTGGAGCCCACTGGAGCCCAGAAGACAAGCTGTGTGCGCTGTGGAGAAATGACCCAAACCCTTGGAGTTCAGAAGATGTGAGTGGATTCCAGATACTGGACGGTTAGAATTTGGTTTTGCTTTGCTTTGATTGTGACTGTGCCCCGATTTTCCCTCTTGAAGGAAGTACTTCACTGGAGTATAACTATTTTACTTCACTGGAGTTGAGAAATTTTGAATTTTAAAAGACTTTGGATTTTTAAAAAGATTGACTATTTTATTTGTTTGTTTGTTTGTTTGCTTGTTTTTGGTATTTTGAGACAGGGTTTCTCTGTAGCTTTGGACCACTGCTCGGCCCAGGTTATTTATGTTTTAATGTGAGATCTTGGGGGATGAATCAGAAAGGAAATGTTGTGGCTTAATAGTGATGTTTTTGTGTGTCAAGTTGACAGGGGGTCACTTGGACTGGCTGGCTTTGTATGTCAACTTGACACAAGCTAAAGTCATCATAGAGGAAGAAGCTTCAGTTGAGGAAATGCCACCTTGAGATCCAGCTGTAAGACATTTTCACAATTAGTGATCAATGGGGGAGGGTCCAATCCACTGAACGATGCCATCCCTGGGCTGGTGGTCCAGAGTCCTATAAAAAAGCAGGTTGAGCAAGCCATGGGAGTAAGTAGCACCCTCCATGGTCTCTGCATCAGCTCTTGCCTCCAGGTTCCTGCCTTGTGTGAGTTCCTGGTTCCTGTGTAATGATCTGTCCTGTCCCTTTAAGAGACAAGGCCCCCAGCCCCCCTGTTAGCTGAGGCAAGCTGATCTTCCCTTCCTTTTCTGCCTCTTCCCTGAAGAGGCAGGTTCTCCCCATTTCCTCTACATTCTCCCCACTTCTCCTCTTCCCTCTCTGTCTCTCTGTCTGTCTGTCTCTCTCTCTGTTTCTCTGCCCCATCTCTCTGCTCTTCTCCCTTTTCCTTTTCCCTTCCCTTCCACAACCCACTAAATAAATATCCATCCTCACTCTGCATGGCATGCTTATCCATGTCTCTGTCTCTCGCCCGCCTCGTGGCTCCTGCCTGGGACCAGCCACCTTTGGAGACCTGCGGCATGGTCTCATGGTGTGCCCATCTGTCTCTCCTCATTAGACTGGCTGCCCCATTGAGGTTTCTCACCCACCATTTGGCCTCCTGCCTGGGACTCGTGGCCAGCTGCAGCAACTTGGGAAACTGCACCGTCTCTGCCTGGGACTGGCTGCTTTCGGGACCAGCTGTTCGCTGCCTGCCTCCTCTGGGGATCTGCAGCATTTTTGTTTAATCTATTACATCCTGTCCTGACTCCCCCCAATGATGAAAAATGATCTGAAAGTGTAAGCTAAATAAACCCTTTCTCCCCAAATTCCTTTTTGATTGGTGTTTTGTTGCAGCAATAGAAACTTTAATTAAGACAGTAAGGTCCCAAGCTGGGCCCCTAGTTCATTACCCTAGAACCTGGGGAAGGTTGTCCCAGAGGCTTCAGCTTGCAGAAGTGAAGGATGGAGATTGAATAGCGAGCTGTGTCCTCAGCAACCCTGAGCCTGCAAGTGCTGCATCTGCAGGATCTGACTGAGAATGTTATGTATGTCCTTGTTCCTGCAGTGAGTTGGTAGGGGACACAGGCAGAGTTGAGAGAACCAACCAGAGAAGAGAGAAGTGACGAGGGAGGAAGAGAGGGAGATGCCCATGGCCACCGAGGAAGCAGTGAAAGTGGGACATACAGAATGAAAGAAGGGTAAAAATGTCCTGACAAGTTAGATTAAGTTATAAGAGTTAGTGGGGCATGCATAAGTGATGTAGGAGAGTCTTATGTATTTCTGTTGCTTTCATTGGCTAATTAATAAAGAAACTGCTTGGCCTGATAGGTTAAAACATAGGTGGGTGGAGTAGACAGAACAGAATGCAGGGAGGAAGAAGGCAATGAGGCAGACGTCATGACTCTCTTCTCCAAGACAGCCGCAGGTTAGAATCCTCCTGGTAAGCCACCACCTCATGGTGCTACACAGATTATTAGAAATGGGTTAGATCAATATGTAAGAGTTAGCCAATAAGAGGCTACAGATAATGGGCCAAGCAATGTTTAAATGAATACAGTTTCCGTGTAATTATTTCGGGTGTAAGCTAGCTGGGATCCGGGTGGTGGTGGGATCCGGGTGGCGGGAAAGCAGCCCGCCGTTCCTTTTACATATGGCGCTCCTACTACACATAAGATAAGGCTGAGCATTCAGAACTAATAATAAGTCTCTATATTATGGTTTGGGAGCTGGGTGGTAGTTCAAAAGAAAGCCTGCTATGCCTCTGTGCCCCCAACATCCAGCCATTTTATAATCAGCATTTCCCAAGTTCAGGTACAAATGAGTAGCCCTGGGAAAATAGATTGTGTGATCTACAAATCATATCGTATGCTAGACTGAACATGCCATTCAAGTATTAGTGTGGTTTTGCAAGAAACTTCAGTGGGCTGGGTGGTGGTGGCATACACCTTTAATCCCAGCACTCTATAGGCAAAGGCAGGTGAATCTCTGAGTTGGAGTCCAGCCTGGTCTACAGAGTGAGTTCCAGGGCAGCCAGGACTACACAAAGAAACCCTGTCTTGAAAAACCAAACCAAACCAAACCAAACCAAACCAAACCAAACCAAACCAAACCAAACCAAA